CCTTGCCGGTGCGGTCCGGTATTCATCAGGGTCGCCCTCTCACACTCCTGCTCTTTTTGGCAGAGGCAAAAGTATCAGTTCTGGCATTAAGGCAGACCTAATTGACGAAGCGATTGCAAACTTCGGGGATGTCTGGGTAAAGGAATCCATGTTCCGCGTATGTTGACGACTTAACACATTTCCTCGCGATGTCTGATCGGCTTCCGCATACTCTGAAGTGTCTTGTCTATGTAGATTATTACCGTAACGTGCTTTAATGCATTATGGTTTATCACTGTGTGGAAATCTTCACACAGCAATCGGGGTTTCCTTGTGTTGATCCCACTGAAGATAGCCCCAATCTGAACTGATATATCTAGGTGCTACCACAGAATTTTAATTCGAATCGACCTCAGATATTGCTTGATTGTACGCTTAATCTTACCTATAAATAGCTTTAAGATCGCCGAATCGGTCTGCGCCAGATCAGTATGTGCCAGATCGCCCTACCGATCTTGTTCACCCAGCATTATATCTGTTTGCTGCTTCCTACAGCATTTGTCTTGGCTTGTGAACGTGCACCATCCGGATCGATCATTCATTGTAATTGATGCCAAATGAGCCAAGAATGATTATCCTGTTTCCTGGGGTACGTGCAACCTTAGGGTTCGATAAGCTTAAAATAATATCTTGTCTGAAGAAGGGAGACACGTATCCTGATAACAAGAAGTCGAATTTAGTTCTGTTTTTAATCTACAAATTATTAGTGATTTGTCACTGTGTCTACCCTACCCTGAGGAATACTCTTTGAGCGGATTATCACTTTGTCCAGGTCGCTCCCTTTAAATATGTGCCCAGATTGTGTAGGCGTACTTAATGGTACATCCGACACTTCCGATATCACGACCCAGTTCCAAATATGGTATCAGACATCATACATAGTTCCTAATATATATATGATTCCATATACCCAATTATCGTACCATATCACCAGTTTTGGGATCAATCAACTTTCTGAGGTCAACTTGTACACCTTTCGCTTATTAACTTAATTCGGATTCTTAGGGTATCATTTAGGGCCATCCGTTAAGTGCATCCTGTATAACTAGACTGCGCCATCAACGAGAAATCTATTATATCAGTGGATAATATGACCGATCTGGAATTCTAATTACAAAATCGACATCGATCCGATACAGATCTGCTATCTGCATTCATTCGACCGATGTAACAGATGAAACGTAACGTTTTAGTACATTTCCAGTCGGCAAAAGCATTCGCTCTTCCCGATGTATGCTTCATTGACCCACGTGATTAGCTGCGTGTATTTTAATTGGGGAAAAATTAACCGATGACATTACTTAGCACGACAGATAGGTTATCAATACCATCCATTTGCTTTAAGCTGAATTATCATTGCTAGGTCACGCCACATATCTTCAAAACACATAGCTATAGATTAACCTTAATTAAATTATTTGGTTCCTGGTTCCAGAATAACCGTGGTAAATCATTTTGTTCCTGGTCCTAGATCAAGATCAGGTTACTTAAGATTCCGTTTATCTCATACAAGCATCCAGTTTTGTTTCCCGCATTTTCTCCAAATATCTGGATCTCATATCCACCTTGGCTGGTCAGATACCGTTTGCGTGCTCTTTAAATTGACTCTGCTACGCTAAACAAATTATGTAACTGCTTTACCCCTTTTAAGAACTAGTCTAGACTCCATGGTCACTGAATCTTAATGTTAAACAATTTCCGAGGAAAATGACTGTACGTGTGTTTAAGAGTAACACGTCAGTAAGACTTGCACCCTTCTACTCAAAAAAATTACACTTTACAGATGATTTATCGATACGAATTAACCTTTTCCTAAGTACCCTAAATTGAGTTTCATTACAAGATTATGATACTGTTGATATGCCGCAACCTTGAATGAAAGACACGCCAGTCGCTTAGATATAGTATGACATACTCAATAATCGCGATTGCAAGTTAAAGATCATGATCTAAGGTCAGGATCTTGATTCCTGTCCTGCCATGTTTCATGACAGGTTGCATAACCAAAGTGTTTAACGGACATCCGTCTTTCCCCATATAGTGGTATTCCTTTCTAATCGAAGTTGGTTGCGCTATTGCGAACCACCCTTCCCAGCTCATGTCCGCCAATTGGAGCCTTTCGACTTATCTGAAGCGTACGATATGCGCAGTCGCAGATCAACCAAAACCATCCTTGCTACCTCTTTGCCACACCTACATACCCGCTGGATTTGACGTAAGGTTACTCTACGGCCCCTAGTTTGCTATATTCACACATTGCAATTATGTACTGACATATCGCAGCGTTGATACGCGAGTATAGCATAGGTCCACCCTATAATGGTAAATATCCGCGTGACCGTTACCAAGGGCTTATCCGTTTTAGAAAGTCATCCGTATCAGCGAATAGCGTACGAATGATATTTATAATAGGTTAAGCCCTTCTTCGAAGCACAATGTCAGTATATGTGTACCACGTTATTTGTGTATACTCAGACGCAGACCTTTTTTAATTTTCTCATTATCTGCAAAAAGCTCTGTGGGCATTCGTTACATCCACCACACCTTTTAATTTAGTCCGCCACACAATAATTCGCCACACCACATGGTTTTATGACGAACCACATTAAATTTACTGCATGGTCCACACATTGTTCCTCTTAATTAACGAGCGTCTAAAACGCGCTACACAACTCTGGAAGTATGACATCCAAACGCCGAGTTCGGATGTCGTACTTCCAGAGTTGTATAGTGCTAGAAAGATGTTCCCAGATACAGTCAATATAGGGGTAGTGCACTGTCTGGCGTAAGTTCTTCTGCGCACAAGTTATTTCTGTCAACATGCAGCAATGTCAGTTCCGCACCCTTTGCTTCCCTGGGATACAATTGATTTGTTGTTGCATAGACAGCGTCAGTCAGTACCACGACAGGTCGCTTATGCGAGCTGGCTACCAGGATTATGCAATCTAAAGCAGCCAGCTTTGCCATTATGTCATCTGTTGCCGCCATTATAAAATTAATACTGAAAAGACAAAGCTTAATAATAGTTTCTTTTGTGATGTGTTGACTTTTTCTGTAAGGTACACTCTCGCTCCCGCTGCAGACTGTACGATGTTTCTGAACGGAAATACTGACGATTTGTTGTACACTGGAAACTTTCTGATGCTATACGCTCCGTTTGATCCGAAGTTTTCATTCAATGTGTATAAGCAATCATCGATAGACTTTGAGTTAAATGTGGTGTAGCGTTGCATCAATGTGATGGATTTCGCTAAAAGGTGTGTTGGAGCTAACCATTTTCTTTGTATATTTCCCAATTAACTACGGTTTTTTTCTTCTAGCAAAAAGGGAATTGTTAAATGCACGCCTAAAAAGGTTAAATGGACGCCTTGATAATTGCCTTTTTTTGGCAAACGTAACCACCCGCAAACCAATTTCAAATGACGCTTACTCAAATAATAGCCTATGGCTAACGTGACCTACCTCAACTCTGATGAACTGCCAGGAGAGTTACGACTAAAAATGTCGCAGAGCATATCACAAGTAATCTTGATTTAATTAAGTGTATGCTCACCCCACCAGAACAGACCTATGACACCTACGAAATTTTGTGCCTCCGTAAATGCTTTGCTTGCACCTAACAGTATACCGTAACAGTCGCAGTTGGAGGCTGTAAGTATTGGTTGATGTGCGATCGTGACGGAACGCTACGTCGAGTATCAAAATAAAAATGCAAGCGTAGAGATGCCACAAGGAAATGCGACTAAAGGTATCAACTACATGCTCGGGTCAAAACTGTTGACCAGAACTAACAGTCATAGATGGCAAGATCAACCATCCACCAATTTCAGTATAGCGGATCATGCCGCAGCACGACGTCTAAACAAATGGCAAAAGCTTGCTGTGGTACTGAATATCAACGCGGGTATTGCCTGAAAGACACTTTGACCCCTATAGTGAGTCGGCTTTTTTTGTTTGGCATAAACCACGTTTTGCTTACCAGTGGCTTCGGCACAAGACAAGAAAGATCGACACTTCTACCGATCTAATTCAACGAGTCCGCGTGCCATGTGCTTGACTAGAAGACTATCGCCGGATTCTCAAGCGTTGACGAGTAAAACGTTTTGATTTAAGGGCGTGTATTCAAATACACTTATTAACAATTTATAAAAGACGTCCATTTAGTAATTTTGTAGGCATCAATCTAAAAAATTCCCGTTATAAGGGAGAAATTAATTTCGTGGTAATATGGAGCATTTTTATTTCCCCTTTGATGATTGCGCGCCTGAAGGGTGAAGCTATTTGCGACTGTGCGCAAGGTTAAATGCCAAACTTTTTAAATCGTACTTATCTGTATGTGTGTGCGTCTGCGTGTGTCTATAAATTACGCGGTCATGTACCACATCAACTAAGTCCAATCCAGTCTGTCCCCTTTTCATCGGTATGGGCACATTCAGAGCCACTCTTTGGCTAGGTTGCTATTGTGGCGCACGTTCGTGATTAGCTTCAAATTAATCAAAGGTGAATACGATTACGTTAGTAAATGCTAAATGATCATAAGCAAAGGCCGGTCGCGTTGCCTCAGCTAACTGTACTAACAAAAAACAGATACCAACAGCATGAAACCCATTCTTTGGTGACTGCTTATGTATTGTTTTGCAACTTGATTCAGTTCTCCGAACTGGATTACGTATATCGAAGGGTGAGCTCCAGAGCTTGCTTTCCTATCTTAACAATAGCTAATGAAAAATTGGTGTGGGCATGTTAGCGTACTATACGCGAGTCCAATGTAGCCCGGTTTAGTATTCCCTTTTTGCAACTAAAAAGGTGTACCTTGTCTACCCTATAAGACACGAGTTGCAGTGTTGCCACTAAAGTTTACATACACACCTTTACATATGGCAACGGACAGCGCGCGTTCTCCGGCATCGATACGGCCAACTGCTCAAATACTTGAGTATCCTTTTAATCGATCTCATTTGCTATGATGCCACATTACGCGTACTTGTTGAAAGTATTGCGACACATGACGATACACTTTCGGTCCGCGGGACTGCTCCTTCTGCTCTCGTCTCCACGCAACTGACTTCATTGACAACAACGTCGCCACTATTGTCAGCTGCCTGCATAGCACCGGAAAAGCAACTGTTCTGCCCCTGGTTCAGGCACTCCTGCACCTCCACGTATGCAGCTCGTGCTGTTTCACTATCTCGTAGTGAGACTTCAGATGACAGCGATAGTGTCTGGTTATAGCTGGCTTCAGCTTGAGCCGCTGCACCTTCAACACGAGGTGACGCAATGCACTGCGGCTGCTGAGACACAAAAGCGCGTTGCTTATTCTCGCTTTCAATCAGCGCGCTTTGTGTTTTCCTCCATCCTGAAAGCCGCAGTCGATGTGATGGACATGATATAGCATTGACATTATTGTACGGCCCTTCTGGCCGCGGAGGTGGTGGTAGCGCTTGCGTCATCCGTCGACAAATTCCTCGTTTGTACATATAAACAGCCAGCAGCGTCACTTGCAGTACGAGGTAGAAAATTAACATAGAGCTGTAGCTGGTCACGCCTTCCGACGCCGCATTCTTGTCGTTGTTCGACGTAATGCCCTCGTTTCCGCACGCAGGCGGCATATTAGCCTCCCAGTTGTCCGCCTCACAAGCCATGACACAAACACACCCGTCGAGTCCTTCACAAAAGTGCCGCATCACGTCCATCGACACGTTCCTGTCCGTGTCCCGCCAGTCGAATGACTGGTTTGTCCAGCTGCCACTTTGGACGAGGTCATGACACCGACCGCACGCCTCGTCCGTCGGTTCACAGTACGTCGAGTTCACGGACGGAAAGTAGTTGTACCAGCCCGTCAGATGCAGGTCTTCCCCCGTGACATTGCGGCGGAAGTCGAGACTTGTCTCGTAGCTCGTCATATCTTCACAGAAGCCCGAGGGCGCCAGCAAACAGCCAGCACTCACCCCGGGTACGTCGGAATTTAGACACTCGTAGCAGGTGCGTGGCTGACGACAGGACGATCCGTTATCTTGCGACGCGTGGTACGAACACGTGTTTCCGTCGGAATTGCCAACATGGTACGGTCCATTGACACCGACAGGATCCAGCGACGAAGAGGAATCGATGGGGAGAGGCGTGACGTTAGGTAGAGTATGGTCGCTGGTACTGTTAGAATTAACTAGGTTGCGGAGCTGATGAGAAGAAGAAGATGGCTTACGGCCGGGGATGAAAACCGAAAAGTGAGTTGTATTCAAATTGTTCCTAGCTTCGAAAACGAATGGCTAGTAGTAGCCGGTGACTCTCAGCCACCTATTTCGTGCCCTGTCTCCACCGCTTTCTGTTTTACCTATCACTGGGTAATTACGTCTCGTAAATACCTTTCGTAAAAACTCTGCTGTGTCATATGCTGAATGAAAACGATTGCGTGGGTGGGGGACGAACTGGGGCGGGTCACAGTTCTGGTGAACCCCAAACACCAGGTCGTGAGTGTCAGTCACAATTAACTTGTACACGGCGGGGATCGAACCCGCACTCACCCGCGTGGAATCCCCTTCCCAAACGACTGAGCCAATCCGATGACTTGTCGTTTCGCTAACATCCCACAATATAAACCTGCCAAAAAACAATACAACTAATGCAAATATGCAATATACACCCTGCACAAGTCGCGCATCATCACTCGCTAACACTCTCCCTTGATGTGGTGCGACGTGTGACCCCTACACCGCCATGACAGACCCGTGATGAACTTGCTGTGCTTGTCTCTTGGAAGTGCTTTGGTGAATCCATCCGCGACCATTTCTTCTGTCGGCTTGAACTCTAGCGCGATAACTGCACTTGCAACCTTTTCACGCAAAAGTGAAACTTGATGTCGATGTGCTTCGTGCGCGAGTGGTACACAGGATTCTTGGCCAGCGCGATGCAACCTTGATTGTCTTGAAAAATCGTCGTCGCGTTCTTGGCACAGTAGTTCAGGTCCTTGAGCAGACCTCGAAGCCAAATTGCTTCCTGCGTGCGCTGTACAGGCTCATGTACTCTGCTTCCGTACTTGAGGTCGCGACCGTTGGTTGACGCTTCGAGTTCCACGATATCACGCTTCCGTTCAGGAAGAAAACGTATCCTGTTGTCGAACGCCGCGTGTCGAGGTCGCCAGCCCAGTTTGCATCCGCAAATCAATCAGCTCTCCCTTGTTGATGCCGCTGAAAACGATGCTTAAGTCTTGAGTCGTCTTGAGATACTTGAGAATCCGCTTTGCTGCTGTCAATGCGACTTGTCGTAGCGCTCGCAAAACTTCGCAACTTCGCCAACCGCATGCGCAATGTCGGTCGTGTACATGTGGCGGTGTACATTAAAGGCCCACCAGCTCACGGTATGGGTACTTTGGTACAAACGCTTCCTCTTGACCCATCTTGATCAGCTTCGAATTACTGTCCGCCGGCGTGTGCATGTCCTTGCAGTTCTCAACGCCGAACTTCTCCGAAAGTCGCTTGATGTACGCCTTCTGGTTCATCTTGATCGTTCCATCTTCGCGCTTGCGATGAATCTCGATCCCGAGGCAGTACTTGAGATCTCCAAGATCTTTAATGCTGAAATCTTCCATCAATGAGTTCTTGATACTTGCGATGTGCTCCTTCGTCTTGCAGAAAATCATCAAGTCGTCCACGTAGATCACGATGATGCTGTACTCCTCTCTTGTCACTCGAACGAAACACACGGGTCCGCTGTACTGCTCTTGAATCCTTGATCAACCAAGTGCTGACTCAACTTGTTGTTCCACTGCCGCGCCGCTTGCTTCGTCCCGTATAGCGCCTTCTGCAGCAAACACTTCTTATTCGGGCTTCCTTCATCTTCAAAACCGTCAGGTTGGTCCATGTAGATCTCCTCCTCCACTTCGCCGTAGAGAAACGCTGTGTCGACATCAACGTTTTCTGCTTCCAGGTCTTCGGCTGCAGCGATCGCCAACACTGTGTTGATTAGATTCCTTGCGCGCCACTGGTGCGAAGGTCTCGTTATAGTCGATGCCAGGACGCTGCGTGAACCCTTTCGCAACCAAGCGTGCCTTGAACTTGATGATCTCGCCACTTGGATCGCGTTTAATCTTGAAGACCCACTTGCAGCCAACGGCCTTCTTGCCCGGTGGCATGTCCATTAGCTTCCATGTGCTGTGTTCTTCAAGCGACTTCATCTCACTCTTCATTGCCTGGAGCCACTGCTCCTTGTAGCCGCTCTTCATCACTTCTCGATAGCTGGACGCTTGTTCCCCATCTTCTTCAGCCGAGAAACAGTAGAAAGAGTCGAAGTCACCTTCGTAGTCGTCCAAATTGAAGCGACCGCGACGATGGCTTGGAAATTCTTGTTCGTAGCGAACCACGCCGCGCTTCTTTCGAACCGGTCGCACCATCCACTCTTCTTCTCCATTTCTTCCGGGTGTGCTGGATGCGCGCGTAGGAATGGTGTCGCTTGGTCGAACACTTGGTCCGTGATGAGAGCTGTTCTGCGCTCGAAGTGGTGGGGTGCGCAGCTCTTCTTCGGTCACCGGCGCTGGTATGTCTTCATCATCGGTTAGCGACGCCTCCACACTTTCATCTTCTTCAATGACATCGAAGACCTGCGTGTCTCTGCTTTTCGATGCTTTCGTGACAGAATGCTCAGCGAACGTGACGCTTCTTGAAATCACGATCGAGCCATCGTCCGCGTTGAGAAGCCGATACGCCTTTTGGTCCTTCTCATAGCCGAGAAAGAAACATCGCACGCCTGAGTCGTCCAGCTTCTTTCTCTTCTCCTTCGCCACATGCGCATAGCATTGCGCACCAAACACGCGCATGTGATCGATGCGCGGAACCTTCTTGAACACCATTTCGTGTGGGCTTGAGTTCTTGTTCGACGCGTTCGGCAGAATGTTTCTGATGTCTGCCGCTGTCATTAGTGCCTGCACCAATAGGACTTGTCGAGGCCGCTTTCCTTGAGCATACAGGCGTCATCTCCACCAGCGTGCGGTTCATCCGCTCCGCCATCCGTTCTGCTCTGGATTGTACGGAACCGTGAACTCTTGCTTAATGAACTTTGCCTTGCAAAAGCTGTTCATCGTTTCGTTCGGTATTCGCCGCCGTTGTCACTTCGCAACACCTTTATCTTCGTTCCAGATGCTGTCTTGACATCTTGGTAAAACCGCTTGAACACTCGCAACGTCGCTCTTCTTTCGCAACGGTAGACCGTTACATACCTGCTCTTCATCATGATGAAGGTTACGGCTAACTGAAACCAGACTTGACGCTGGCGTGATAGGTCGAGAACGTCGGAACACCACCACGTGGAACGCGAACTCTCCTGGTTTCAGCGTCTTCTTCACTTGTCTTGAATGATTGCGCACTTGCTTTGACGTTGGATAGTACACGCAACGTTCGTCTTCATCGTTGCGCCCTTGATCCTTCCGTCCTTGACCATGGCATTCAGGTACCATACGAATACCAATCTTCTATGCCATAGCTCTGTATCGTTTCGGCCATGTGGCACCCGTACCACAGTCAGATTGAGATACAGGAGGAACTGCTTCCTTCCTGTTGGAGGGTGTGCCGCCACGCTTGAACGCACTCGTTGGTTATCTCCACTGTCATGCGGCGCTGGAGGTGAGGAAACAGGTTCTTGGAAAATCTTGAACGTGAAGTGTTCTCAAGGCGACTCGATACATGTCCTGTCAGACGAGCTTCATGTCCATGCAATGAATTCAGCTTAGTGCTCTTTGGCTTGAAATGTTCGGATGATATTCTTCGTATCTTCGAAGCATCTCGATCCTGCACAGGTGCTGAGCCACTGTCCATGACCCAGCTGTTGCTCGCGAAACCTTCGCTGGCATGAAAACATTCGACTGGTCATGCTGTTGTCCTTGCCCTCGACGGACAATTCTGGCGTAGTGTCCGACCTTGCCACAGTTGTAGGTCCTGATGGTCCTTTCGGCGCCGTCCTTGTGCTTCTTCGGGTACTGCTTACCTTCCTCTTGCCTGCGTAGAGCGCCGTTGATCTTCTACTCGTGCTCCTCATTCTGCATTCTTCGGCGATCAACTTGCTAGAGGTACTGAAACTGAAGCTTGGAGGAATGCGGATGCCTGTACCAAGTCTGAAGCTTGAAGGTAGACTCCGCAACAGTACTGCACGTCCTCTTCATTGGAGAGTTCGGCGTTCATTTCATACAGTCCTCCAGCTCCATCACAGAGTCATGTTGATTGCATACTTGAACGAGAACTTTCCTTCAGAAAGTCGATTCGCCAGTATGACTGTGATGAAATCGCGCCAGATCCCCACGCTTCTTGCGGTGGCGAGTCGATGACATGATCAACTTGAATCGCTCAGATTCAGAGATGGCGTGGGTTGCTGTTCCTTGGCCTCACTTGTTTTCATCGCGCGATGCCCACAGCCCCTTCGACATCAGGTACATCTTCATCTTGTAACTCCACAACCCATAGTTGAGCGTCGAAAGGCTCGACCTTGAAAGGTGTTACTTGGGTCATAACCTGTTAGAATTAACTAGGTTGTGGAGCTGATCTAGAAGAAGATGGTTACGGCGGGGATGAAAACCGAAAAGTGAGTTGTATTCAAATTGTTCCTAGCTTCGAAAAGAATGGCTAGTAGTAGCCGGTGACTCTCAGCCACCTATTTCGTGCCCTGTCTCCACCGCTTTCTGTTTTACCTATCACTGGGTAATTACGTCTCGTAAATACCTTTCGTAAAAACTCTGCTGTGTCATATGCTGAATGAAAACGATTGCGTGGGTGGGGGACGTAACGCGGGCGGGTCACAGTTCTGGTGAACCCCAAACACAGGTCGTGAGTGTCAGTCAAATTAACTGTACGGCGGGGATCGAAGCACTACCCGCGTGGAATCCCCTTCCCAAACGACTGAGCCAATCCGATGACTTGTCGTTTCGCTAACATCCCACAATATAAACCTGCCAAAGAACAATACAACTAATGCAAATATGCAATATACACCCTGCACAAGTCGCCGCATCATCACTCGCTAACAGGTACCACTGTTGTTAGCACTGAATCGATCGGTTGCGTAGTTGTTGTGATTCGTATCAGTATCGCCATTGGCAGCGCTCGTGCTTTTGCTAGAGGTTGACGACATTTGTGGCACGTGTGCCTGAAGCGACCGAAAATGACTGGGAAGTGCCGAATTGACAGGCTGTTCGTTGTGTGCGCTGATTGGTTGAGTCGCAGTGGTTGGTCCGACCTGGCAATCTGTGAATATTTCCAGGAAAACTGGGTATCCGTGGTTTTCAAATTGATCCAATATTCTCTTTTCGCCTTCCTTTTCTGATGTAAATGCATTTCATCGCATGTAAATGATCATCTCATTGTGTAGTGTAAACGATCTTGATAGTTATACTCCGGTCGGATTCGTGCTTGAAACGCATTGGTAAGACGACAAGACCGAGAAAAGTCCACTGCTCTTACGCTTTGTTTCACGTACCGCCGAGTTGCTAGAATCCAGAGCATGATGACGCTTCGCCATTCGCTTGGCATCGCCCCGGCTCTTGTTCTTGCTGGTCTCAAGATACGCAGAAGCTTTTGTGCCGTCATGATCTGGGTCACCGTTGACGTCGTTGGCTTTCTTGTCCGAGCTAAATGAAGTGAAAATGAAACTTTTGGAAGGCTCTGCACCGTTGGCCTAAGAAGAACAACATAGCACAATGCACAAGTGAGTCATCCTCATTCTGCTAGCAGCAGCTTGTAGCGAGCAATAGGCGTGTACCGAGTGGGCGTTAAATATCTTGCACTGGTCGATCACGCGGCTGAACGATGACGACGTTTGAGACACTGATGTGATCCCGCCGTAAGAAGTAAACCGATCGAGCTTTCGATGGGATCCGTTCAGTCGGGACGCGTTCTGAGAACCACCGCCTGTGGCCTTTTGGATGCTTGGTATCGAATCGACATTTGTGCGGTTCAGCAGATGCATCAGCTCTTGCGAGTCTTCATCTTCCTCTAACAAAATATTAGGAATCGCAGCATCGCTTTTCACAGCAGAGTCTACTCCATTGTCTTGCAACGCAATCTGGCGTTGCATGTCCTTCATGCGCTGCATACGACGGTTGATCCGAGCACGCTCCGAGAAGAGTTTCATTTGCTGTCGTTCACGCTCCTCGTCAGATTCAATGTCATCGCCGTCAGATCCGCTATTTTTAGCATCTTCCTCTTCCTCATCACTACCAGATTCGGAAGAAGTCATGTAGATCTTAGGCTGGTTCAGGAAACGTTCACGCAGCATACGCTCCATATCAGCCTCTTCATCAATCTCTTCTTCTTCTTCTTCCTCTTCTTCGCTGATGCCGTTGACTTTAGCCTTCTTTTTCTTTTTTCCATCGTCATCCTCACTCAACTCCTCGTCAGACTCCAGCAAACCCAGACGAGCTGCTTCAAATCTGCTCCCATCAGCGGCTACAAGCTCATCCAGATTAAAACGACCGCGAGCCCCCGAGCCGGAGGGGAGACCTGAAAAAGCACGACGATTGCGACCAAAACCTTCCTTGACGTTCCGCATCACTTCTTTGACTTGTTGGCGATCCATTTCTTCACGTTCGCGGCGGAACATTTCATCCAAGTCTTGCTCCTGCGCTCTCTCGTCATCCGAGAGGTTATCGACAATGTAGTCAAGATCGTCTTCACGTAGCACAAGTGCACGGCGCTCCTCTTCGGCCTCTTTAGATTCTTGGGTCTTGCTTTGTGGCACGCCAAAACCAAAATCACCTAGACCGCCTATGTTAAGAACGTCTTCTTCGTCATCTTCCTCAGCTTCCGACTCGACGAAGCCATTGCCGCGACTTTTCATCAACCGCTTCCGCTTGCGATTCTGAAGTGCCTCTGCACGCAGCAAGCTTCGATACCCAGCAGCCTTGTCCGCCAGCGCCTTTTTCCTATCAACTACTAACGCTCCGTCATCCTTCTCCGTTGTACCTTGCTCTCCCCCAAGTGAGTCGCTCATACCTCCCGCTGCGGACATCGAGTCTTCAAAGTCGTCATCAGCATCGTCTACTTCATCCTTATAGTTGTCATGCTCGCTATCCGCCTCGTTGCCGTCTTCCTCTCCACTTTTTACAATACACGAAACTCTTTTCCGTTGCTTTACCACGGCCCTACTCATCGCTTCGTTCTCCCCCTTCGACATTTGGTTGTCTTCAGATCCAATTTCCGATGCTTCTGTCTCACGAAATACCCCCTTATCCAACACACCCTCGTCTACGTCCCGTCGAGCAGCGCTTCCCAGCTTCGTTTCCTCCACCTTCTTTCCTTCCTCCACCTGTAGAGTCTCTCCGTTTCCTTCTTCTATATTCTCCACATCAACTGACCCGATCTCATCGTCAACCTCCTCCTCGATTCCTTCCTCTTCTCGTTCCTTGACTTCGTCCTGCCAAATCTTCCTCTCGTCCAACTCATTTAAATGCTTGACATGCTCTTCATGATTCTTGTACCCGAACAATTTAGCCATTTGCAGAGCACCTTGTTGAAGAGCTTGTGTCTTGAGCTGTAGCACCATCTGTTGCTTCTTCCTGGACGCGACAGTTGCTGCAACTGTCACAGGAAGCTTCAAAGACATAGGCAGCTTGGACTTCGTCGGGCTGTTTTTAGAACCGGATGGAGTTCGGAACATTGTCGAAGCTTTCGGCAGCCCAAAGCGCTGCTGGTTCAGTTGCTGCTGCTGCATTCGATTGGCCGCTTTCTTCTTGCGCAGCTTGGCCAGAAGTGCGTCCGTGGCGGCCTCGTACTCGGACACAAGCGGCTTTTCGCTACCTTGGACCTCGCTGTCGACTGCAGTGGCGTGGGTGAGCTGCGTCACGCCTTGCAGCAGCAATTGCGTCTCGAGCGCCAGGTCATCGCCACTCATTCGAGCGAAATTAGGAATTTCGTGTCAATTGCAAGCGGGAAGAGCGATGAGTGGATTATTTGTGTGCACCACATGAATGAGTTTGTCAGCGAATGACGAGAATGGTGATGTTGTTTTCGACTTTGCTGCTACTTTTTCGCATTAACACAAAGACTATCGCGAAAATTCACGATTCCTTTGCGGTTCTACTATATCTTACAATCGACAGTACGCGTTCTGTCTCCGTCTCGTTTGCTATGATGTTTCAACCGAAGGAGTTCATATACGTGGTGTATAAACAAGATGAAGGACGCAATTAAATAGAGAGCGGCGATAGAAACGTGAACAAGTTGATGCCCATTGACACATGCGATGAGCGTAGCGGAGCTACTTAGCGCTCCTTAGCAGATGAATCCTTAGACTCGAAGAGTCTCTTAGTTAAAACGAACTAACAATGGCGTACAGTCGTTCAAGCGTACAAGCTTATCAATCCCGGTTCTAAAGGGACTACGATTCACAGAATCACACACACTAACTAGTCGCTACTAGTTAAACAAGAGTAAATTCTTTGACAAGGCAACTGCTCTTACAACACACTACGTCTTGACTAGGTACTCGCGTCCAACGATTCAAAAGAGGAGCTGAACTTTGTGTAATTCTTTTAGCTACGGTAATAAAATCCTAAAAATTTGCCTGACTAATTTCTACATTACACTCTCTAATTTGAACGGGGACCGTTAATCCATTAATTTTAGAGGTAAGAACAGTAAGAGCTGGTGACAGCCAAGTCCTCAGTTGCACGACGGCTAGCAAGGATCCTTTAAACTTTCTATTTAAGAAGGAAAGTGAATGGAGGCCTCCAGGGTCTACCAGGCGCCAGGAACCCCTGTCACAAGACGACGTGACGGCGGAACTTAGCCACAACACCATTTCCACCGCTCCGCAGCCAGCGGGGGCTGCGGAGGCGGGACCGGGCGGCCACCCCACGGCTCCCCAGAAAGTATTCGCGTCGGCCACGCAGCCGGCCTGCGATACTTCAGCTTTAGGTACTGGAGGCGGAGATGCTCGTGGTGACACTACCGAGGGAGGCACCGCGGCAGAGATCGCCGATGCACCAGACGGGGATCAGTCAGCGGCAGGGCCTCAGTTCGCCGGTGCACCAGAAGGAGACCAGTCAACGGCAGGATCCCCTCCGTCCTCTGTGATGGCCCTTCGGCAGCATCCATGTTCCATGCTTTGGTAACGGAGATGAAAAGTCACCCAGGGACGAGCCAAATTGATGCGTTGCTGTTGACCACAAAGGAGCTGTTCGCCGTGGAATTTGAAAAGCTCCTGATAAATGCGACTGAGCTTCTAGCCTCTAAAGCGCGGAATCCACGCTTGCGAGCCTCCGAGTCGTCGAGCCTTTTACGGCTATTTGAACAAGTGTTTGTCGCGTCTAATGGTACCTACCACAACTGAAAAAACTAGCCTCCTCCCTTAGAAAGATCTTGTCTCAACGAAATGGTCTTTTACTGCTAGTATTCGACGATTGGCTAGCCAACACAAGTGGGCGAAGGCTACTGTGTTGGACCAGTGGGCGCAAGTTGTGCGGCAGGGGACACCTACCCCTGCGGGCAGTAAGGCTTCCCCTTCCAGCCCGAAGTACAAGGAATTTGTGTTAGATCCTTCTAAATTCACTCATGAGGAGGCTGAGCGCCTTAAAGCCATTTGTGAGGATCGTTTCTTCATCGGACGCAAATTGTCTCTGCGGGAAAGAACTGGGTATGAGTGGCGAATAATTACGGGATCGCTGAAGGCCACTTTGCCGGCGCAAGCCGCTTTTTTTCAAGGCGGTTCTGGACGGTCAGGAACGCTTGCGACTCTATAGCACGGTACAGGCTCAAGTGGAAGGTCACCTAGCTGTATCATTGGGTCCAGATCGGGGATACAAATTAGCAGGCAGACGACACGGTCTATCACGGAGACCGTACTCGAATCAGCGGAACTGGCGCAAATCAGCCTGCCGGAGCTCCATCGATTTTTTAGCCTGACTTAGACTATTAATTATGACCGTGCAGCTAAGTCTACTCTTCTTATTCTTTTCCCGGGTAACAGCTGAACTTCTCAAGCATGTGCGCATCCCGTATCGCGGCAGAGTAAACACCTTATCGAATGCCCACAGCCCGGAACGAGGGTCCGTTTGGGGACGCCAGCAAGGCCCCACAGGACAGACATGTCACCAGCGCGCGGAATACACTATAGTCTTTATAATCTTACCCGATCCAAAGAGATTGGATGAGTGGCAGCATCTTTTAAGTCCAAGATCCCGACGGCTTTCGAGTTTGAGGACCTCGATACGTATTGCTCCATGTCACGTACGTCGACATCTTGGAGAAAAACTTATAAAATATTCGGCTATCCCATGTTCCTTCAAGATATAGTGAGAATCCTTTGGTTTGGGACACCCATAATACTCCAGAATCCGGATGTCGGGCGCCTTCTCTAATGTTCTCAGTGTGGAGAACTCAGCCACACAGCGACCTGGTGCGGATACACAGATATTCAACTTTAGTGGCCCGGGGGAATCGAGGTCCACGAGAGCGATCTCTGTACCCTAGCGAATTTAACGAAACCATTTAATAGAGTGGCCGAGATGCGGCGTATGGCAGCAGACAGATTGACGGTCCAGAAATCTGCGGAGGACGCTGCCAGTGTAGCCGTGACGCCCTCTGTGATGCCTTCCGCTCATGTCCCAGGCCCAGCGGAGTCGTTAAGCAGGGACTCACATCGGTCCAGTTCGGTTAATACACCTGTGAGTCGGGCTGCGTCAGGTTCAGGGCCGGCTCCTTTAAATTTGACGAACAACCCTGGATAACGCAACCTCTTCGCGGGTCAAAGAATCCGTGGGCTCAGGCACCGATGGCGCCGTCGCGCACGAATGTTTCTTCCGGACGATACACGGTGTTAGAGCAAGCCGATGTGCCTTCTACTACAGAAGATCATTTGCCAGGATCTTCCACTTCTGCGGATACTTTCAACACAGAGGCTGCCCGCCCACGTCCAGCCCCTAATAGTCAAACTTAGGCAGTGGTGTCTGGAAAGAGATAGGCTTTATTTCGTGAAAAGGCGCCTACATTGTCTGGTCCAGTTCTAAAAACGATGAAGAGTCAGGAACGTGCCACGTGTGACCGTATATTAGGTGGCCTGAAGGACGTCCCCAAGCGTGTGCTTTCAATGGAACAACGTCCTCAGCGGGTACCGAGCGATCTGCGTAGTCTGGTCCGGCTCTTGGGATTGCGGGAGGTGGTAACCCCAGCGACTTGGAATTGTGTGGCGATGGCAGTAGCACAAACTTACGCTTATGCCGACATGCGTGGCGAGAGTGACGCATTTGAACGGCTCACGACCAGTGTAAAACGCGGCATTTGGTTTGCCGGTCTTCTAAACTTAGACCACAATTATGCCCGTGATGTGCGCGTCCAGGCTCTCCGCAACGTAAGGAGAGGTTGGACGACAATAAAGCCTAAAGAACTGGCGATTCTGTTTCGCTGGTTCTTACATGACTACACCTCTTTTCAATCGAACCATACTTCTACTGTTGATGGAACGGTCTGGGGGGGTCGATACGCTCGGGATGGAGGCGATATTTTTCACCAGGACATCTTTTTACTCCACGTGGGAGATGAGGAAAGGGAGAACCATAATGCCGAAAGTATTGCTCGACCGTGACGACAAAGAAAAATATGGCGGTGGAAACGGATCGAGAGGTTCCTTAAGCGCTGATGAAATTTATCGACGAGTTGCAGGGAGCTTAAGTTGCGACGGAGGGGCGACTGCCGCTGGTGCTCCGATACTACGTTAGCCACTATTTGGCGTTGCTGCACTCAGCCCCAGGGAAGGATCTCCCAGACCTGGAGGTGGATTCTTCGCAAGCTCTTGTATGCTCACCATACTCAACCGGAGCAGATCAGCCAGAGGTTGGCAGTGATAGCCCGATCTCCACGACGACGGACGTCCAGAAGAATCCTTTTGCAGTTTCCGCCGGCTTCTTTGGAACTGCTATTCTTCCCCCAACGACCAATATAGAATTGGTTCTGTATCATCACCCAGCGGACGAAGGAATAGAGCATGGAAGGCATTAGCCTCGTAAGCGTGGACTTGAGAAAAATTTGAATGAAGCGGTATCGACGTGTAATATGATCCACAAGCACCTATACCCATCTGTTCCGAATGCAGGAAGTACAGAGGAAGGTTGCTCGAAGATACACTGGTCAGAATTGGAGGTTCGGATAGGTAGAGACGACTGGCCGTCGATTTGGCAATTACTATAGTCCAGCTGGTTGGCGGCGGCGACGACTCCCGCTCCGTCTACTCACGGGTCGACGCAGGAGTGGATTTCCACAGCGCAACGCGATTCTCACATCCTTCTTCATATCGTGCGACAGTTCGCCTTCGCTGGGGAACTACTTTAAAATCTGGACGATCACGTATTGATCCTTTGGGCAGCAGGTTGGCGGAAGGAATGCCTTATGGCGGGGCTGGTTTCATTTTTTCGCAGTAGGGTGCAGTCGATTGCCGATCGAACAAGGCTGGACCAATGGGTAGCGAGCGCAGCACATCGGGGGGCCTTGACTTCATTGCCTCCTCTCATCGATAACGGCGATGACTGGAGACGCATGCATGATTCAAAACATTCGGGAGACGACATCATCAAACTTTGCGATTTACGGAACAAAGTGAGGTTCAGCCATCATTTCCTCTGCTCCTTTATATTTGACCAAGAGATAGAGGCTCTCACGGATGTCCATAGTGAGGGCTCATCTCCATCAGGGAAGATTCATCGGCACTTACACCTATTACGGGTCAATTCCTATTACAAGTCGTTTTTTTTACCCTAGCGAGAGTCAGCAATTCGACTGGAACCCCATCGAACGTTTCTTTGCTTCCTCGATCACACCATCCGAGGAGAAGTGGTCTCCGATATGCTAAGGGCAGCCCTAAGCTACACTTAGCGGATCATTTGCGGGGGCAGGATCTGACTGAGGCGGATTCATTCGGTCGATCTGCACTGCTGTCGTAGTGGTCTCGTTATGGAGAGGACGTCACGTCCAGCAGTACGGGTATCGAGAGCGTTAAAATTATCACCCAGAACGTGAGGAGATTTACTAGTCAGGGACGAGCTCAGTGACTGAAGGCTTGGAGCAGCCGAAGCCTACGAGAACGACCATTGGCGTAGTGTATTCAAGAAATCCATGTTTCGGGCGAGGACCAAGCCAAGGCGCACAGTCTACAGTGGACGCAGATATGGGAGAAACATACAGATCCCAGCCACCCACCGTTACCATACTGGAGCACGGGGTCTTCGCAAGCTGATAAGGTGGCTATTTTGCTGAGTCCCAAGTCAGCCCTTGATGCGTTGGTCTGGGAGCAAGACCTCTGGGAAACACGGAAAATCACGATTTCGATAGGCGAAATATTCATTCTCAATGTTTACGCCACAACCCTCCAATCTGAACGAGAGGTTTATTTTTACGTCTACCCCGGTGAAATTTACCGCAAGATACTTCCATAATACTCGAAGACTTTAATTGCGGCAAAAGTCCTTTGCTGGACCGGCTTGGACCACATCGGTCATGTAGGCCTGAAAGTCCGGCGCTAGAAGCATTTCTGGATTAACGGGAGTTGGTTGATGCCCGGTTGTTGAGTGACCACGCGCAGGACGAGGAGGCCGACGATACTGTCGACCATTTTACGTATTGGGAGGATAGTAGAGCAAGCCGGATAGATCGTTTTTACGTTCCCCATAGCTGGATTGCTCAGGTTCTATGGGTGACGGTACGCACTCCACCGTACTTGTCGGATCAGCAAGAAGTGGAGATCCATCTTCGTGGACGGAGCCAGCCCTCTCGTTCTCCGAAGGGGAGGCAGGTGACATACCCATTTAGGGGTATTAGCCAGCTCGATACTTAGAGGAACTTTTAGATGGACTGACTGAGCTAGGGGTGGGCCAAATGAGTTCAGTATGAGACTGGGACTCGATGGTCGCGGCGTATAAGCTATGCATCGCACGGGTGCGCAAACGGGCACGCCAGCGGCGAAATCGGTATAAAACAAAACTATTGATTCGGGAAAGGTGTCAATTTCTAACAAGACATCAATGGATTACTGCCAGCATAGAAGAGCTCCGTCTAGAGCACTCCAAACGGATAGGGAAGCCGCTTGAACAAACAATTGCTAGCCTCCGGTGGTCCTATAAGAGGGTTTTGTCTGGGGAAGAGGCCAAACAGTGTCCAAGATTGTCAATTTGCACGGCCCTGAATTTACTCGGCATACGACTGTTGCTGCCAAATTTTTACTCCGAATGGTCGCCACTTCCTGGAAATTCACATCTCACGGAGCCTCTGCCAGCTCTACAAGCCGTGATCCAAGTATTTGTCACTGTCCCGGCCGAGCGGAGGCTATCCTCAGCAGCAAATTAAGCCCTAGTAGCCGAAATCACAGAGGCAGAGGTACTCCAGGCCGTTTCGGAGCTCCGCCGACATAAGACAGCCGGCCCGATGGTCTAAACAATGACTTTTTTACGGAAACCTCGGCCCTTATGGTGCCCGCCCTAATGACGGTGAGCAACGAGATTTTATCCGGTGCACCAATGCCGCCTTCGTTTTTGGAAGCGCTGGTGATTCCGCTGCGGAGGAAGGAAATTTCGGCGGATACTCTTGACTATCGCCCAATCTCTTTGCTTCATAATTGTTAAATCTTTGCGAAGGTTTTGGCTACCCGCTTGCAGACAGTTATGCCACGGTTGGTGGTAGACTCGAAGCGGGGATTTGTACGAGGCAGGCAAATGCGCAATCTAGTGACCATGATGCTTTTCTAGCTAGCTTCGACTGGTGATGAGGTGGATCGATTAGCCAACGCTAGTCGGGTCATCTTGCAGCTGGATTTTTGCAAGTCCTACGACACAGTGAACATGGAATTTCTTTACGCAGCGCTGCGCGCCTTTCATTTTGATGACCAGTTTATCCAACTCATTCAGCGCATGCATACGGGAACTACGGCTCGTTCATCCATTAATGGCGAACAATCGGACCCCATTGCGGTCAGATCCGGTATTAGCCAAGGTTCTTCTTTGGCACCATTGCTCTTTCTCCTGGTGGTAGAATTACTGGGCTTGGCAATTCATCAAGAACCGGGTCTCAGAGGGCTGCCAGTTCTGGGAGATACATGAGTTAGGCATATATTTTCAGCTTTCGTCGATGATTCTACTCTATTTCTAGAGCGGGCGGATCAACTGGAGTCAGCACTGCGCTTAGTCCACCGATTTGTAGACCTTTCTGGCCTCCGCGCGCAATCGACGAAGAGCATTTTAATTTTCCTCAACACAGCAGTGCGGCTTGTGATGTATTGGGATATTACGGTGTTGCCACCGACAGAGACGACCAGGTAACTGGGTTACAAATTTGGAAATAGAGAGATGATCAATCACAATAGGGCACAGCGCATTCGCCGCTCGCGGCGTCGGATGCTCACAGCTACTTCGGTGGCGCCAAGTGTGCAAAATCGGGTGGTAATTTTAAATACTATCATCCTACCGGTAGTCCTATCCACGGCGGCTGCCTTCGATGTTCCGTCGTGGACAAGCGCGGAGTTGAATATTGGCCACCTGGTTACGCCGGTGCAGGCAGGAGGTGTTGGCCTTGCTTCTTTTCAAGTGACCATGAAGACGCAGCGAACGATACATGCGCTCAGATGGCTGATGAACGCTCCTGATAAGTACTCCGCATCTTGGAGAAGTACTGTAGTACTTGCTGCTAGCTCTGTATCAACATTAGTCCCGGCGCTTCACCGATACTTTGGGGTCGGTCGGCCGCTGCGACGACGGCATACGCGAGATCACGAAGTGCACGATCTCGAAGGCTTCCTAGCGCCAAAACCCGATCAGGTATCAGCGCTCCGCTTTCGGGTGGAGACTCATCACGCCAGGCTGGTCGTAGAGGCAACCAGTTTGTGGGTCGGTCGACAGTGGGTACTGCGATACCACGAGGACTTTCCGGCTACCGCCGACGCCGACGATCCGAGACAGAGGGCCATAGAGCGTTTTTGGGACCGGTTATACTGGAAGGACAACCCGTGGATTGTCGATATCACTGGCAAGCCTCTCCAGGGCTCCAGGTTCACACGCATACCGCCCTGCCAATTACGCGTCTTCAACATTCATCGTACCAGACATCGACAGTTTGTTTTGACAATGCCTGAGTGTAGCGACGAGTCACCACGTCATTTTCACCCAAAATTGCGGCGGTGGGCAACCACAAATTTGCTTGCTTCTCCGGCTATCGGCGTTGGTACTGAGTTGGCAGCGCCGGATTTAAATTAAGGCACCCTCCTCCACCCCTGCGGGATTACCGGTGTATCTGTGTCAGTGACGATTTGGTGGTCGAGACACCCCACGATTGCTTCCTACCTGCTGATCCCCTTTACGCCTACATCTTGGCGACAGCGGGCTCCATTGGTTTGTTTGTCCAGGAGATTTATATGATTTCGAGCATGCTTCTACGCGCGAGGCGGATTTCTGGCGGAAGCGAATATCGCGAGGACTTGTTTTTCTCGCCCATCCACTTCTCCATGGATTTCCTTGGAGGGTGCCGAAGCCCGTGGACAACATACAAATCTGGAAAGCGCTCCTCCGGCAGGCATTTCAGCATCATAAACGGCTACTTGGCCCAGCACTCCATGCCTGGCTCACCCGCTTCGAAGGCGAAACGAGGAACGATGTGTGGCTTGCAGCAGCTGCACATCAACAGTCGTCGCAGCTATGGCAACACGCGCATAGTCTGGATGAGTATCTGGTCTGAACCTGCTACAGGGCCGCGACTAATCAGCTGAATTTTTACCATGCGGGCGCCACGCAGATAGCAGCTGCAGAAAATTCGAGCGATGCAAGGGTTTTAAGAGACGGCGGCTCATATTTTCTGGGACTGTCCGACAGCGCAAGCTTGTTGGCGGCAACTAATTGTATGCTGGACCGGGGAGGGAGTTGGACGGTACGTGATGTTGAACTATTTCAGGTATTGCGCGGATCGACAGGCACCATTGTTGTCATAACATCTTCGCCAGCGTTTGCAGCTTCATTTTCAAGATGGCTATCTCGAAGCCGAGGGCATTTTCCGGCACATCTGGTTTATCCTAAGTTATGCTTGCCAATTGCAACTGTGGACGGAGCGTAACGCAGCAGTATTCCGCGAAGAATCAACGAATCCATTGCGGCGTTCGTTAACATTCTGGGACCGAGGTATGAGGCAGTTACGGACGATTGCATTACGGGAACAAGGTCGGCAGAACGTGATGTCAAGGGGGCGCCGTTATACGCTTGTATTGAATTGCCAAACCATTAATCTACACGGTACTTAACCGCATTAGACATTCACCACGATGCGGTGCCTTTACCGGCACTAGGACCCTGCTCAGGACCTTCCAGACATCTTGCTCATGTTAACACGTAAAATAGACGGTCATGAAACTCCTCCTCCACAACATCTACATTACGATCTTATGACAGAAAAATGATTTCTTATCCTTACCCGATCAGGTGCGGTATCACCGTAAGTACGTGGTACCAAGACTGTACCTCTCATATCCCCCGATGTGTACTTGGTGTGGACACACAACATAACCTGTTCAAACAAACGCGTGTAAACCTGTTACACCCTCCCCCACCAAACTTTCGACACCCTTGTGTCGACAATTCCTCTACTGCGATTTGAGGTGTATTAGAGCTCTGGTCCTTGACCATCGTGCTCACAACACATCTCAAAATGATTGAAACAAATCGTTCGTCCAACACCCTGGAAGAATTCCTCGAAGAGGGTATGATGGACTGTGAGAGTGACACCGCTGCCTCAGGAATCTACGACCCATCCTCCAGCCACACCACCGGCGCGTGACAACACGCGCATTGCGCCAAATCCATTCGTGGAACGCGATGAGGTACCTTCACCCCTTGCACAGCTTTCATCCGTCGACCCTGCGTTGGGTGTGTTGCACAGCACACTTGATGAAGACCAAAGTCATTATCTTCAGTCAGTCGATGACCGCAAGCGTCAAACGCAATTTGTAGCCACAAAGTATGCTCACAGTGGTTACCGCTTCACACCACTGAATGTGGATGAATGCATTCGTCAGACTGCCGGGCAGTCACTCGCAAAATGGATCACGGGACCCAAGGCTGTGACAACCGCAGCAATAGCGGAGAGGGAGGCTCTCAGATTGAGATACTTGGGATTGAACGTAGGACCGCTCAAGAATACGTTGGAAGGCTGAAACTGCAAGCACAAGATGCATTTGCGTCCGTCATGCGGACGGTACCCGTCGTTCTCTTCTCGGGTCAGACGGAGGCGGAAAATGATATCGTCTTCACGCGTTGGGCTCGTAGAGCACGTCGTATGCCAAGCTTACGGAATATCCAAAAGAGCGCTTCGCTCGTCGAATTTCTGCTGGAACGGGAGAAGCGTTTTGATTTCGCCAATGAAGAGGCCAAAGGCCAACTGCGATCATTTTGTCGCACACGCTATGCTGCGGCAGCCACAGACCTGCGCCTCAGTGCACCTGCACCAGCTGCAGCTGCAACCTCCTCCACTCCCACATCGGCTAGTGGGAAGCGGCATGGGTCGACTGAACCGGAAGACGACGTTTAAAAGCGTCAACGGCGTACGGACAATTCTGCCGCAGTGGCACTTCGTACTCCCAAAAATATTTTCCGAATTCGGGTACCCCTGCCACTGCATCAAGTACTGGTACTATCCGTCGCGACAACGTCGCCGCAGGAGACGTTCTACATAGTACTGTTAATCAACGTACTCTTCAACGAGATAAACCGGTGGTCGGTAAATCTCGACGCGTCGTCGACGATCTAATGCGCGCGTTGCACGGTCTGTGTGAACGAGTGGCGAGTTTCAAGGGACAACTGGATCTCCTCTTGAGGGTACCTCGACTTGTGGTATCACCAACTCTTTCGGCGCAAGCGCCTCGTGATCCAATAGCGACGGATCAAGGTAAGGCTTGGGCAAGCTGACGTAGAACACTGGGTGTGTTCACATCTTGCGTGGGAGGTTGAGCATGTACGCTAGTCTCTTATTAGTCACATCTGTAAATGGCCTAATGAAGCAAGGACGCAACTTGGTCCCGCAAACCGCTAACACCGCCTTGGTGAATAGATTTTTAGTGCTAAAAGTTAGACTATGTCACCGACCTCATAGCTTTCAAATAACTTTTTGCCTTTGGTGTTAGCTTGTTCCTTATGTTTGTCCTGGCTTCCAGCCATATCATGACGTACATGTCGTAAGACACTCAATTGAGCATCAAGATATTCGCTCACCTGATTTTAGATAGTAGTTGGGCTGACATCAGCAAGCCGATCGGCTATCCCTCCTCCAACAAGCTCAGAACCACGCAGTGGTAGCGTTGAAGGAACGAGTGGGTAAGTGAAATCATTCGCGTAGAATGGGGTAAATCCCGTAGATGCATGAACAGCGTTGTTTTACTACTCAAACACGACCACCCGGAGCTTCGAGCTCCAACGACTAGGCGTATCAGCACAAACAGTACACAAACGCTTACCAAAAACACGGTTGACACGCTCATTTTGATCATCGTCTGCGTATGATTTGCTGTGGACACGTCCAACCTGGTGCCCAAAACCCTAGATATAAAATTCCACATCTTGCCAGTGAAACGTAGATCACGATTTAAGACAATGGCCACAGGCAAAACGTGTTGACGAAACACACGGTCGATAAACAGCTTTTCTGTACCTTCACCATCAATGGAATCCGGAACATCTGCTAAATGATCCATCTTGCTTAAACGGTCAATAAAGACCACGATACCAGTGTTGCCGTCCGAATCCTTCGGTAGGCCAAAAACAAAGTTCATACTGATGGAATACCAACACACAGTGGGTACAGAGAAAGTATCGAGCGGTGCAACCGCAGGTGCTGAGAGTTCGACCCATTAACACATTTTACAAGTACGCACATAGGAACTCACCCATTTGTGCAACTTGGGCCACCAATGAGTCTGGCTAACTGAGATATAGGTCTTCTCAAGGCCGAGTTGACAGCGTAAGGCAGTGTCATGTGCCTAAAAGAGGATACATATACTTCAAGTCCTCATAAAGAGAAAGACAGCGTAAGGCAGTGTCATGTGCCTAAAAGAGGATACGATACTTCAAGTCCTCATAAAGAGAAACAACGATGCGAGGCACATACTTAACACCTGTGCAATAGCACAACAACCCACCATCGATGACATATCGATGTAGGCTCGCGCGTAATCGTGCCGACAATTTGATGTCCGATTCTTGAAACTCCTCGCTTCCAAGAGCATTCAGCAATGCTACACATTGATCATCACGTGCATATGCCGCACAGATTAGATCCACAATAGATGACGACAGAGTCGTAACATGAGCAAGCTCATAATCAGGTCTGCGTGACAGCGCATAAATCAAAGCATTTTGCTTGTCTGGCTTATACTTTACCTCGAAGTTGTAATCAGCAATTAGAGATAGTCAAAAGGCCATACGGTGTGAGAGTTGAGGCGACTGTGTCGAAGTACGAAACGAAGCATAACCGGTGAAGATCACAAAAGGCTTTGAGCCAAGTCGGTGGTCTCTGAACTTGACAAGGGCATAATCCATTGCGAACGACTCTTTGTCGTGAACTGGACAGTTTTCTCTTCAGCTTGAGCAGACGAGACTCATACGCAATGACGCGCTCATGTCCATCGACATGTGTATGCAATAATGCACAATTGATCGCAAAATCAAGCGCGTCACCGACGACACAGAAAGTCGACTTAAGTTCAGGAATAGAAATTATTGAAGCATGAATAAGACTCTCTTTTATAGCGTCAAAAGCTTGAGCGTGATATGCGTCTCTACACCAAACTGCATTCCTTATAAGATGGTTGCTTATGGCCGCGCCATATAAACGTAGTTTGCACTGTATTTGTGCAAGTAATTATCAAGGCAGAGCCATTTCCGCAAGTCCATTTGCATCGACAGAACCAGCCAGTCAACAGTTGACTTTACCTTGGCGGTATCCGCTCGAAGGCCACGCTTCTTTTTGAAGCACCCGAGAAAGGGAATTTATTCGACGCCAAAAAATGCATTTTGATGCATTTGCATACAGATTGTTTGTGCGCACGCACACGAGCACTGCTCCTTAATGGTCAATATGATTGTCTACATCTGATCTGCCTTGTTCTACAAGGCTAATAGCAAAAATGTCATCGAAATAACTTTGTGCATATCCTCGTTGAGGTCGGAACAATTGCGTCACAAGACGATTAATGTAGCCGGGGAAATAGACAGCATTTAGGGCATGACAAGTCACCCTTAGAGCATACCGCTTGGAGTACTAACCGCTGTGGGCGGAATATCACTCTATTGCGTGAGCAATTAGTACTGCCCATCGACCAAGTCTTGTGCACTGAACAAATAAAACCTATCATAGCGTTAAAAAATTACATCTTTCTAGTGATAGGTGTCTGTGCCGGTATAGTGGCCGCGTCAAGCTTATTGTAAGCATGTACAATGCGCCGCTTGCCATTTGGCTTTCTGACGCAAAATGTCGGTGTCGAGTGCGGAGACTAGCTCTCATGCACCATGCCAGGTGCGTGATCTGCACGAAAGAACTTGTCAATGAAGTCACATTGCTTCTTTGATTGGGTACATTGCCGTGTCACACAGTATTTAGTTATAAAACCAGGTCAAACTAATGACTTTCGCCTTGATCAGGAGTCAGAGTGGAAGGTGGATCGTGACACACCACATCTTGAAATCCTTAACCAAAGAAAAGAAGGGTTCTTAGGATATTTCAAGATCGGTGACACACTTTGAGCACTCAGTACCGCTTTTGTGTCTTCCAAGACAGCCTCATCAAGAAGTGACGACGAGTTCAAATCACTATCGGATCTATTAATCACCACTTCAGATTAGTCACCTGAAATTTATTTTCAGGTAAAACTTAATGACAGAAATTAGTCACCTGAACTTTAGGTCAGGCCAAACTTATCGGCAGACCCATTTGTCTAGCTCTAACAGAGAATTTAGTGACGGTAGAGTCTCAAGACTCAAAGACCCATCTACGTCACAAGTCACTCTTAACGACTGTATATACCTTCTCGCTAGTATCACTCAGTGACGTAACAGAGGCCTTGTATTGTATAGAATCACTCTGGCGTCACTGTCGTCTCTGTGACAAGACTGAATGTCTCAAAGAGACTGGAACTTTCTCGTTACCAAGATTGATATTATTACCATCCTTAACTTGCTCTGTACAAGAGCCGGTATCAGTACCGACACCCAGGAGGACATCAATGTCCCCAAGATTGACATGACCGTCAAACCTTAAGTTGCTCATTAACAGAGCGGAAATCATAACTGACATTCGGTATCATCCCCAAGGTGACGGAGTACTTCAACCTTAACTTGCCAAAAATCAGGGCCAATGTCATTACCGAAATCTGGTACGACACTGTCCTCGGGTGACGGAGTACGTCAGCCTTTATTTGCCCAAAATCAGGGCCGGTGTCATTACTGACATCTGGGACGACAATGTCCTAAAGGTGACGAATGGAGTCAACCTTAATTTGCCCAATAGCCGGACCGATGTCATTGCCGACATCTGGGACTACACTGTCTCCAAGGTGAAGAACGGCTTTAACCTTGATTTGATCTTTTTTACAATCTGATGTCCTTACCGACATCTGGTGTTAAGTCACTTCCAGTGAGATCACCAACCAGTGAGTACCTTTCGTGCCACTCCACGCACATCAATTAGGCGTTGTCCTGGATAATATGGTATTTCACCAACAATGTCTTGACTGAAATTTAGTGTGTCGCAATCACGGCCAACATCACTCAGCGGGTTCTTATGTGCTACTCCACGCTCATAGATGGTTCAACCCAGGATGACGTGGCTCTAGGCAAAAATGCATCCAGCATTCAGCTAATCGTTATCACAACGATTATCACTTGTCGGAATTGGTGCCGTCTCAAAAACACTCATTGCGCTTGGCTCGTAGATAACGATTTTGACATCGTCCGACTCAATGAGTTCAGACATACCGGTGTCCAGCACACTGACTGTCTCACTCCGTGGATCGCGCCAATAGCGCTTCTGTTTCCTAGCAGAGATAAGATCATGACTTTCCGAAGCTCCAATAGGAATATTGCGCGTTGCGCCTAATGTCTTTGACCTCCAATCACTATATGGCTAATGGCGTTTAGCCAAGCCATATCCAGGATGAGATCAAACCTCTCTTCCAAGTCAAGGACTAAACAGCGTTCAATACTGTCAAAGTCCAAAAAATTCTTGCCTAAGCTCACAGAAACTTAGAGCACAATGAATAATGCACATGTCACCAAGTGAACAGTGATAGTATCATTCTTTCGCGTTTTAAAGCCTCAGTATAGTACTACTTACCTGCCACGGAACAACGTCGGGCGCAATTCCCCGACGCCCCGGATTCAATCAAAATCGACCATGGCTTATTAGAGCCCTTTACTGTTTTAATACCAACAAATCTGGCTTGTACGCATGCTTTCGTGACATTTTGCACGAAGTCACTTGCGGCTAGGCCCTGTTCTCCGTAATTTTCTTAGAGGTACAACATAGCCTAAATAATCCCT